ATAAGCGTTTCAAATTCTTTCGCTTTTTTGTTTCCGATGCGATGAACCGATAAGTCGGATTATATCCGTTGTTGCCAAACACGAGCACATAATATTATTATTCAGACAGGGCGGTACTCAAATTTCTAAAGCGCTATAACTTTGTTACTTTAATTTTACCAGAAAAATGTTAAAGGAAAAAAACATTTCTTTTGATCAGATCTACTCACTGTTAAAATAAATGACTCAACTTCGAAGTCTCACCGGCAGAGATTAGCTTGTCACTTTTAATACCTGTACGTAAAGTTCTGTCATCAGCAAAGCTGTTGAGCGGATTGATCTTGCAGAAAAGGAGGTCATTGATATATAACAGGGACAATGTCGGAGCCAAGACCGATCCCTGGGGAACATACGCGTTGACATTGTGGACTGAAGAGAATCCGTCAATTACGATAGATATTTTGCGGCCAGAGAGAAAATCAGCCACCCATCTGCAAAGGAAGGCAATAGGATGGAAGCTTGTAACCTTCGACAATAATTGCCGGATCTGCATTGTTCATGCACCCGAAATGAGAGAAATAGTACATCGACACCTCAAGGGAATCAACAAACTATTTTTGGCTTATCTTTTAAAGGTTTAGAACTTTTGTTGTTGTTTTTATTCCTTTTATTCATTTATTGTTTCATTGTTGTATAGAAAACGGGCCGAATCCTACCCTGCACGAACCGAACCCTCCTTCACAACCATTTCCTTTCTATTCTAATTTAGCTCGACCTGATGCCCTTTTCTATGGCCCTACATAAATCAACTAAAGCCCTTAAACCTCCCCGAAAAACGCCACACGGTGATAATCCATCTGATGTTCCGATGAAATGTAATTTTAATTGAAAACAATGTCCTTTTTTATTGGGATTAAGTACGGTAGATGTGAAAGATGCCGCGCGGCATTCAACCGTGGATGATTTGTGGCGTTTTCAAGATTACAGGAAGGGTTTACTGTTCCCCACACACATTTTTTCATAACAGGCTTTAGGCACCACGGACGGGTTTTGATTTCATCGTTTCATTTCTGTTAAATCATTTCATTTCTTTATTGGTGCTTCATACACTTACGTGTTCACACAGGTCAAAGTAAAATGATATTGTGAATTTAAAATAGATACAAAATTATAGAATAAGCATATCAGAACAAATTAAAAAACAGATCAAAAGTAAACAAGCAAGCTACAACACCATCATAAGAGATCCGAAAAGTTATTACTTAAAAATTCTTCGATGTTATAAAAAGCTTTCTTGATAAGGTACGCTTCAGTTATACTTAAATGCGCCGGTGCCATCCTTTCTGAGTGCCTTTTTTTCGAAAAACGCTCAGACCCGTCGATTTTGTCTTCGAGGGGGACACAAGTTTGGCAAAAAATCACGTTAACACGTGCAGCCCCCTGGGCGGGGGTGACACCAAACCTAAAATCTTAAATTGAAAGGGGGGTCGAGTGATACCTTATTTTAAAGGTCTTTCAATTCCCTTTATAATGATGTAAAATACATGAGCTCCACTTCGGTAGTTTTGAAGATTTATTAGTAATCTAGGTGATGACTGGTGTACGTAGCCAGCCTAAAATGAAGCTAAGAAACCAGCAGACTAAAAAATGTCATGAAAAAGCCCATTATCGTTATTTACAACCGCAACAAATTCGGATCCGCCGTCTCTTGGCAACAAAATGTTGTAAGTTGCTCGGGAATGTAGCTGGCCTATATTCCGAATTGGAAACTGGGGAATGCCAGCAAAGTTCTTGGGAAGTATCGGATGGGACGGACGTTATTTGTACAGTTTATTTGCGGGTCGTTACGAGAGGCTCCAGATACATTTTTAATGATAGGGGTGTAGCCAACATATCTTTCAAAGTGGAATGATCTGGAAGAGGGCATTGCCGGATAAAAGGTTATCTTCGATTGTATAGATCAGGGTTTCGAAACCTTTTTTTTTGTTGAGGCACCCCGGACTATAAATTATATTTTCATGCTCACCTTTACTTTTTCAATAAACAAAAAAACGCACATTATATAGGTACAAAGACTTCTATTTTAATTCTAATAAAGAAAAAATTGAGATTGCATGTTCTGTACCAGTTGGTTGATTCTACGTTCTGTTTTTGCCAGAGCTATCATTAGGTCGCTATCGACATCAAGACGATTTCGCTGTTTAGTTTTAGTTAAAACGAGAGCAGAAAAGTATCTCACATAATATACAGGGTGTTTCAGTTTATTGTTGCATAACTTTAAGATTCGATAGGACTTTTAAAATTAATGCATAAAGTCTATATAAACATGGGTCGAAAAATGCGTGGCTTCCGAAATACAGGGTGTTTAAATTTACTTTTTAAAATAGTTTTTTTAAATATTTCGAACAATATTTGATGTATAAAAGTGAAAATTGGTATGGGTTTTTTGGTACGACAAAACGAACTATGGACATAGTTTTACTGTAGCCGCTAGAGGGCGCTCTCTACTGTACCTGTAGTGTATTAAAATGACCGTAAATTTTTTCTTAGTGCAAGTTTTGGCTTTTTGAATAAAAAAACTGATTCGTCGGACTTTTCAACATAAATAAGCTCTCCTGTGAGTTTTCGTTATAGTTAGCCGTTTTTGAGATATTTCGATTTTTAAGGTTCGATGCATTTTTAATTATTTATGGAAAATAATATTTTTTTTACATTTTCGATTTGGGCATTACAAGTAATTAAGATGATCGTTTAGATTGTGTTTTTAAACACAGCAATAATTCCTAACTCCAAATAAACACAAAAAACAGAATACTAATTTGTTTAATTTTCCAATATTATTTTTAACAAATTAAATTAATTATTTACAACTAAAATGCTATTGGATAGTTAGGACAAACATACAAAATCTAAAGTATTTGCTCGAAATGTAAACCCAATTGTTCAATACACAATTCACATCTACGAATGATCGAACATGGTATAGCATTATTCAAATAAGGCCTTATTATCCTGTCTATTAGCATATCTCTTGTGGTTACGGGAGCCTGGTACACTTTTTCTTTTAGAAATCCCCGCACAAAGAAATCTAATGGATTTAGGTCAGGGGATCGTGGAGGCCAGGCGACTGGTCCTCCACGGCCGATCCATATTTCTGGATAATTTTCGTCCAGCCAGTTTCTAACTATTCTCGAATAATGAGCTGGACAACCATCAAGCTTTAACCAGGCCAATCTTCTTAAATCTAACATAACATCTTCCCACATATTTGCATGTTCAGCCTTTAAAAATTCCAAGAAGGTCGCAGCATTTAACCTTGCAGGCAAAAGGTAGGGTCCAAGTAGTCGATTACGCTAGATACCAATCCACACGTTCACACTAAATTCATGCTGAACATTTCTTTACCGAACTGCATGCGGATTTTCATGCGACCAAATATGTTGATTATGAAAATTTACCACTCCACGTCTAGTGAATCATGACTCATCGGTCCATAAAACGTTACTTAAAAACTCCCTATTTTATTATCAGTTCTATCAAGAATCCACTGACAAAATGTGATTCTTCGTTCTCCGTCCCCTGGCTGTAGTCCTTGCACAGGTTGCAAATGGTAAGGACGTCTATGGTCATTTCTAAGAACACGGTGAACATGGCTTGCTGAAATTCCCAAAGCACCAGGAACTCTCCTGACACTTGTGGTCGGATCTCTGTCAAACTCACGCAGCATCATACGGATGAATCTGCGCTGACGAACATTTATGTTTTGATCCCTTTGGAGATTTCCAAAACCATTTTCAATTATTTAGCGATGCACTCTTACAAATACTGAGCGAGTTGGATGTCGTCTGTTTGGAAATCTTCGTGCGTATTCTCTGGCTGCTTCTGCTGCGTTTCCATTTACAAAGCCATAAACCAAATGAATATCCGCTAACTCTTGATTGGAGAATAAAAATGGCATTTTTATAAAACTTACAAAAAAACAGCGAATAGAAACTAAATTTGGTGCATTCACAATTGCAAAAATACGTTTCAGGTTTCAACAGACAACAAAACTAACTGTCAACTAATTGACGTTTAACCTTATTCTGCTTTCAATTTCAAAAATATTTGGAGGCACAGCCTACTTCTAAAAATTATCGAGATACTGACTTTTTAACGTTATTTTATCATAAATAATAAAAAATGCATCGAACCTTAAAAATTGAAATATCTCAAAAACGGCTAACTATAACGAAAATTCAGAAGAGAGCTTTTTTATGTTGAAAAGTGCGGAGAATCAGTTTTTTTATTCAAAAAGCAAAAAATTGCACTAAGAATTTTTTTTCGGTCATTTTAATACACTACAGGTACAGTAGACAGCGCCCTCTAGCGGCTACAGTAAAACTATGCGCATGGTTCGTTTTGTCGTATCAAATAACCCTTGTATACCAATTTTCACTGTTATACATCAAATACTGTTCGAAATATTTAAAAAAAACTATTTTAGAAAGTAAATTTAAACACCCTGTATTTCGGAAGCCACGCATTTTTCGACTCATGTTTATATAGACTTTATGCACTAATTTTAAAAGTTCTATCGAATCTCAAAGTTATGCAACAATGAAGTGAAACACCCTGTATATTCGTAAAGCAAGAGAGGCAATTATTAATTAATTAATTAACAGGCAATCCTTTGATCCAAAATTTCTCCAATGTTAAAAGATGGAAGTCACCTTTCATTGACGAATCAGCCTTCATTTCTAGAAATTCTTCCTGAACTTCTTCTGGTAATTGTGACACATCGACTAGAAATGGATTTCTTGTGATGTGCCATATTGGTGAGTCTGTCTCGATAGTATCGGCGAAATTCGTCTTCCAGCGCTTGCAAATAAGTTTTTATGTCAGCCAAGAAAAAGATATAACATTTTCAGAAGACCAAAGTTGAAGCTTTGATATGAACCTCTGAATATAATCATAATTGCGTATCATAGTATTGTTCCTGCCCTGAAAATTTAGCTCATTCAAGGAGTCAAATATGTTAGTTAAATAAGCCAACCTCCTTTGAACATTGTCAAGAAGTCGTGTTTTTCTTTGAACTCAAGGAAAAGAATTACCTCTTCTTTCAATTCATAAAGGCGAGGCAACATGTTGCCTTTGGACAGCCAGCGTACTTCTGTATGGAACAGAAGAACTTTGTGATCACAATCGAGATCCTCGCAAAGTAAAGTTAATAACCGACTGTTCAAAGCACTGCTCTTGATGTAGTTTACAATCCTTATAGCCGAGTCCAAAGTCTGGTGTAATTTCTGTAGCAATGTTTAGGAAACCAAAGCTTGCAGATGAATAACACAATGTGTGCTAACCATTGCAGGATCTTTTCCCTTGAGTTTTTTAGCTAAGCCCTATCATTGCAGGTGCGCCATCTGTGCAAAGTCCAACAAGTTTCTTCCAATCCAAATCAGTTTTTTCAACAAAATTTGATAATGAATTAAATATATCTTCAGATGTAGTACCTGCTGTCAAAGATTGGGAGTACAAAATCTCTTCTTGAATGATATCTCCGCCAATGTAACGACCATAAACTATTACCTGTGCACAATCAACGGTGGATTCATCGCAACTAATGGCAATAATTTTACTTTGTTAATTATTTGTGACTTTATGTCTGCTGCAATGTCATCGATTCTACGCTTGACTGTGTTATTCGAAAGAGAAATAGACTTCATTTTTTGCTCTGCACCTTCTCCTAAGATTATCTGCGTGGCTTTTAGGACACATGGTTTTATTAATTCTTCGCCAATAGTATGAGGTTTCTTTTGCTTTGAGATGCTGCGATACACCCGTGTGATAACTTTCCGATTTATCCAGTCTCATCCGCTTGAGTGATTTCGCTATAGAAGAAAATAACCCTTTCGTCTTCAAAACCAGAGGAGGATGTTGTTGCTTCAAATGCCTTTCAAGGCGATTGGGCCTCATGCTATCATTACTTAAAACTTTCATACATATCCCACACTGAGGCAATTGTAACTCGTCTTTTTCTATGAAGGTAAATCCAATCTTAACGTAACCTTCGGAAAATTTTCTTTTTTCGCACCTATAACAAAAAAGTAATAAATAAATATGCAAAATACCAGGACAACGTGCCAAGAACTTGCAGAGAAGTCCTGAAACTATTAGTTTGCATCTTCATCAGCTAGGAAAGACGTGGAAGTTAAGCAAATGGGTCCCACATGAACTGACAAATGATAACAAATTAAGTCGTCATTTGTTCAGCAAACATTTCACGCAACGCTAATGAACCATTTCTTAATCGGTTATTAACCTACGACGAAAAATGGATCTTGTCTTCGAATTCTAAGCCTTCGTATCATTGGTTGTCGCCTACTGATTCGGTACCACACACCCCCATGTCTTCCTTGCACCCAAACAAGGTTTTGTTGTGTGCTTGGTGGACAGCAACTGGAATTGTCTATTATGAGTTTTTGGAAAGGGGTCAAACCATCACTGCTAACTTGAATAGTGAGCAGCTTCAACGTGTACAAGCAGCACTCATCCAGAAGCAGCCTTCTTTGATCAATCGGAAGAAAGTGATATTCTTGCAGGATAACGCCAAGCCTTATACCGCCAAAGTGAACCGAGAAAAAATTTCTGAACTCGGCTGGGAAACGTTACCACACCCGCCATATTTTCCCGACATTTCGCCCAGTGATAACCCCTTTTTTTTTGTCTCTTGATAACTGTATGAGGCACCGACAGTTCACAACTCGAAATGGTGTAATAAATGCAGTCCCCAATTTTTTGACTCCAAATCCAGGGAGATCTACAATAACGGCATACAAAAATTGGTTCCATGTTGGCAAAAGGTCATTGAATGTGATGGTAATTACTTCGACGAATAAATAGTGTCTTATTGTTTCTCAATAGAAATTCATATTTTTCCACTAAAAACCGCACGAACTTATTTGGTTACCTGAAAGTACACGGCTTGGATTTTTTTTATATATTCCTGATACGCCAATACGCATAACGAATATTTTCTTTGTAAGAACAGTGAAATTGTAGAGTGCGTTCTTACGCGTAAACCGAAGAACACAAAAACCACAAAGGTACCTACTTGTGGTCTTTCCTAATTTATGCCAGCAATGTTTCAAACCTCAAACGAAATGAGAAAAAGTCAGATAAAAAGTGAATGTGATACCATAAAAGGAAGTCGAGAGTTTGCTACCAGAAGCAGACTGTCGACTAATTTGTCTATAACTTATCAGGGAACACACGCGAGAGGCAACATTCCGAAATTAAAAAAAGAGAAATGACGCAGACGGAATTTTAATTGGGACCCACTTCCAGACTAGAGAATGTACGGATGCGGATATCCTTGGGATTTAAGGTACATTGATTACATCAATGATAGCAAAATTTTAAGAAATGTTGGATCTTTGAATTAAATTCATGTTTTAATTACTATTGTTGATTTTTTATTCATGTTTATATTATTTTCTTCAATTGATATGTGATACTGGGTGTTTTTTCCTATAAACCTCTTGCAGATAGCCATTAAGCACCTACTTGATGACAAGCTCTACCAAAAGAGATTGCTCGTTTCCAAACATTCATTCATTTACTTGCCGTTCATCAGAACCATTATGGCACCTTAGATTGATATTCCCACAAAATAATTCAGGTTTTTTGATATCCATACATCCATAAAGTTGAATTTTTTTCGTTGTTCAGGAACTGAACAAACATCCACACAATATTCACAGCGATTAAGAAATTCCCAAATATATGCCTTAAAGCTACCAGCAAACCTAAAACCTGCAAAAAAACGACAAATTTGCCATATTTTTATTTTTTCACGAGTACACATTCTAGGTTATATTTATATTAGACATTTTTTTAATACAGCTGATTATTGCATTTCAAGGAGTGACACATGTGTGGGATGTGTCAACTCTTGGTACCAGTCACAAAACATATAATCTGAAGGTTTAATTCCATGCTATTCAATGACAACACGGTGTTTTGTGTTTGTCAGCAGCCATTTTGTGAGGGTGCGACAGGGTTGCAAGATTGTGCATTAATATCCCGTTTCACTTTCCTGGTCCCAGTGGAGTAAGTTCCGCCAACTGTTGAAATATACTCTACTATGCTTTATAAGACTATTCGTGACATTGTTCCCAAAATCATTGCACAACACTTGAAAAAATGCAAATGAAAATTTAAAATTATTTCCATGACGCCGTAAAATAGCTCCTTCGGTACCTTGGGTTATACATCTTGACAGTAGGGATGTTCGATACGATCCTATACTTAGAAGTATCAATACAATTCATGATTATCGTCATCTTTCGATCCGGACTGTGTCAGAAAGAGTGACTGCCATTTGGCTGCGACATTACCCTGCCAAATCAGACATATATTCCATCATTTTCAAAGAAATTGTACAAAATCTTCAAATTTGTGAATTTAGCGAGAGTACCAAAAATATTTTCATAAATAGGAGATCTTTCCCTTTCCTGGTCGAACAATCTACCAAAGATGCTCATAATCATTTTTCCTAGTAAATTTTCGCGAAAAATATTCAAAACCAGCAAATCTAAAAGGTTTCATTTCGCACCCTTCACCACGGGACGTGATCGTCGTTAGACTTGGCAACCCTGCGAGTGACAGATAGATATCTCCGCCAGTCAAAAAGAAAAACATTACTTGGTTTTATGGTTTTTTGAACTTAAGAGACATTATTTGTGAAACATTTTTCATAATTTTTTGTCTATGTCCATAGTAATTGCATTATGCATCAGGGAGATGTAGGGATTGACACGTCTTACACATATTATCTGTGTTTTAGGATGGAGAGGACATAATGTTTTTATTGCTTTGAAGAAATTCATTAACCCATAAATTAATGAATGATTACTATTATGACGTAAAGGAAGATGAGGAATTGGATGGAATGTATTTTATATTCTATTTTCTTACAAAATGCAGACAAATCCACACTATTCAACAGGTATGTAATGATAACTTTCAGTATATTGAAGTTGGTAAATTCGAGAGTGCCATGCATAAGAAACGTCCAAATCTGCTGCCAAATTTAACAGCTAGAAAATCGATCTATTATTTGCCGCATTCCCATTCGCTGAAGGGGATAACGGATTCTTAACTTGATTGATAGTACCAGCCTCTCGTTGATTTTGAGGATTATCTGGCAGTTCGAGCTTAGATAAAAACCATCAAACTGATAATCATTATGTAAGAAAAAATGTCGAGCAGCACAATTCGATTAAACCTCATAAAGTAAGATTGACCTTGAAGATGATACAGCAACATATTCCCAAGGATGTGACGTTACAGTTGCTGCTCCGGAAACAATTCTTAGTATCGCCGTCCGTTGACGGTTTCAATTGACAGATTTATCGGTGTGTTGATCTCGGTTTGATTGTGTGAAACAAACACTGGATTAAATATGCCCGCAATCGTTTTATTCCTTTTTACTCTCACCGAAGAAGAGTTGTAAAAATAAAATGACATGGTGACTAATGTATATTGGTATACGCATGGACGTCTGCAGTGGGAGGGGACAGGGGCGGTGTAATCCCCTGAGAATCCGTTTTACCTTAAATTTTGTATGTTTAGCACGATTTTGGGTAGAAATTTTTGGGATTTGTCCCCTCCCTAAAAAAATTGCTGACCCTCGGTCTTCCAAAAGTTCTTGGGGTAGGTACAATTTCACAAAAAGTACTATGAAAACGTGGCCAATCGAACTGTTATTCTGGGAAATTTTCATTACCCCTAATAAGTTTTTTAATTATTCTATGTAACTAAATTATACGGCTTAAGTGAACTTAATTTTCTGGAACCAGTTTAATTGAAAGCAATATACTATTAAGCTAGTTTGCTTCGCAATGGTAAACTGTTAATTAGTCTAGGTGATTTAGTTTATGCAGAAAAGGTAGGTTTATTAATGGAAATTCTGCCGGTCTCTAAGACAATATCATAAGCCTCAGGCTAGCGCGGATCGCAATGAAGTCTTCGCATAACTTCCATCCCTTGCAATGCGAGTGTCAACGACGAAAAACACTCCTTTGATCATTCATTCGTATCGCATTACGTTTAAAGCTTTTCATCAAACTACAGCTAATTGTTTTCTTGATTTTCTTCAAAGGTCCTTCTTGTTTTGCCGTACCTAAGCTCCGACCGTACATAATTTGTTTGATCTGCGATGGAGGAAGAACAAATTTGAGGAAAAAATAATGGGGGAGATATCGGATCTGTTGAACAGGAAGGTACATTATTAGTTTAGAAGATATAAATCTTCACAGCCTGCCATGTCCTTAAATCTTAGTAAACATTTCAGAATAAAATATACTAAGTGACACCCAGTTTAAATGCTCTAAAAATGAATATTTCAGCCGCAGTAAAGAATCAACGTTGGCGGATTTTGGTTGGACATCCTTTACGATCGGTTACGATGCTGATGCCTAGAGTACGGAGACCCGTACGATTTCGTCAACTTAGTGTGTTTGATAGGGGCCGTATAGTGGGACTTCGGGAAGCTGGTCTTTCTTTTCGGGCAATTGCAGTTAGAGTGCAAAGAAGTGTAGACACTGTGGTTAGGTGTTGTCAGGTATGGCTTCGAGAAGGCCGTACGCAAAGAGCAAGGGGCACTGGACGCCGCCGTAGAACAACAGACCGTGAAGATCGCCGCCTAAGATTATTGGCCTTAAGGGACCGTTTCTTCACTGCCAGGTCCATTGCAAATGAATGGTTTGCAGAACACGGAATGCGTATTGGCATGCGAAGTGTTTACCGACGAATGAGAAGTTTTGGCTTGTTTTCATGCCGGCCACACTGGGTCGTCCCTTTAACTCGAGAACACCGACGTAATCGCCTTGAGTGGTGCAGACAACGGTCACTCTGGGATCAGGAATGGAACAGTATTGTCTTTAGTGACGAGTCTCGATTTTGTTTAGGCATGCACGATGGTCGTGCCAGGGTTAGAAGGCGACGTGGTGAAAGGAGGAATCCACAGTTTTTTGTTCATCACACTGTTGGAGGTATGGTTTGGGGTGCTATAGCTTATGGTTCCAGGTC